TGTGAGTTTGTTACTCTTTCAGTAGATAAAAATGTAGGATTTTCAAACGTATCCGAGAAACATCAAGTTCACTATTAGCTTTTGAATATCTGTCAAAATCAGGCTCCTAGTCGAAGTAGTTATTTTAGATGTCTTGTTTCTCGGTATAATTTTTTATACGATCGAGGTTTGTCGCGTTCGTGTTCATTAACTAACCCTAGGGCAAAGCTGAAAGCTTTCGTTAGTGAACCTCAAAACGTAACAATGAGAGTGAAATATACAGTTGTTTAGCATGGATCTCGTTTCCATAACGACGACGACGACGAATCTGAGGTACTGTTGTGTTTGTAAATGTATGCTGACTGATTTGATTTATGGTCTTGCTCTCAGTCGCTAACTCCCTGTTGCACTAATTAAAATGTCCATTGTGACCATCGGTTTTAAAAATTCCTATTCTTTTTACGGTACATTTCATAACTTGTAACATACTGGTTACACCTTCCGCATTGTGTACTCAGTGCGCGTCATATTTTAACTCATGTCAAGCACTCGAACCCATGAATTACTGTCGTATGACATCGTATGTATTCACTGTCACTGCCACAACCACGTACACATGGGTAGTGAGTCGGTGACCGTCCCGTTACAAGTTATGGAAGATCATGTACATTATCAAGCCGAATCCAATTACCACAACGAAAGTTGCTTGGATGTTGCGATTAACGCTTATGTGCACTGTTTTGCCAGCAAATTAGTCCGGGCCTAAGCAGTCTGTTTCATTGAACGAATTGACGCGCAGTCTCTATCCCTCCTTGTGAATCCGGACCGAGTAAAGTCAACTAGGGTCTGCGATCGAACGAATGAGAAAGACAATAAACATATTACTGATCTGATTATGGAGACGACCTCCCTCAAGTTCCCAATCCTTATGGTGTTATGAATATTGCCAGTACGGCCCCTCATGAATGTTCACGTATCTAGGTTAATTTGTCATAGACAAAATGACTCGAGCAAAACGGAACACTAGAATGTCATAAATGGGATTAAGGGCTACATTTTGGTTGGTTTCCTCTTTTCTTCAGCTAGAAGTCTGCTTACTCACTGCTTCTCAAATGTTTGCATCCACAATACTGCACATTTTTATACCGTGTCCGTCGCTAGGGTTATGCAATTCAGGGTGCTTTTTTTGTTTTGGTCGTCGGTTTGTTAAGTCACAATGAATTGGTAAAAATGATAAGGTGCTAATGAATTATGATGGGTCTTATAAATATTGGATATCAGGCCACCCGAATTGTCCTGGCTTCAAAAGATGATGCGGTAAGTGTCCCCAACGGTGACATTGGTGTTAACCGTTTAGGACTAATGTGAATTGATCACCCCTCCCCATCCCGCTCCTCCAAATCAGTTTATTCCTCTAGCATGCATGCCCGAAATCGCAAGCCTGCAAGCGTTACGTTGTTTTCCTTACAGTATACTAATACTATTGGCCTATGCGCGTGTTCCTTCCTGATTCGTTGTTGCGTGCAAACGTCAGTTTGCATCCCAATAATGCTCTTAAGCATCCTAAACTGCGCCTCTGACAGGCTTGTGATCAGTTGCATCTATTGCCTCCAATTTTTCATAGGATCATTCGTGATTATTATTTCAATCACTGTGCTAGTCGGAAACAAAAAGACACTTCAGATAGCTTAGGTCAAGACAAATAAATTCTTCGTACTCATCATATTCCTTCTGTTAACTATCTGTTCACCATAGACATTATCAGGTAGCTTCAAGTCCCCTTGGTTGTCGGCGATTTAAGCTTTGTCTCCCCTACCCCCGTACGCTTCTTGTATCATATTGTTTCTCACAGTTTATCATGCTGTACTAGCGGTCCAAGTTCCGTAACCTACTTGCCACGTGTGCTACATCATTTCCGTTTTTTCAGTGGTACACTTGGGCTTAAGCCTGGTACGCCTCTAAGGAAACTGTTTGCATCGGTCACCAAGTCCATGCCTGGGTAAACCTTAGTTTAATGTGTGCTTGTGTGTGTGTGTGCCCTCTTGGCGTCTGTTATCTGAAACGCAGCGTTTGTTTTATGCAAGGTGCTCGTCTAAGTTTTCGGCTTCATGCCACTTTGAAATTCTTTCCCGATGAAACCTCGCTAGTAGTCGAGTAATCTGATTCAACGTTTTATGTTTGTGTCAGCCTTTTCGTTACTTTCATTCTACCCATTGAAATCAGTTATCAACGGGAAAGCATGCTGCACGTCTGTGCCCAGGTGCCTTTTTCTCTATGCGCATTTCTCCTCTCTCTCTCTCTCTCTCTCTCTCTCTCTCTCTCTCTCTCTGTGTGTGAGTGTGCGCGCTTATATTCGATGATACTGCGTGGAGCGTTCTTCTCGCGGGTTTTCTGTTGTGTCGGCTACAGATTTCCTGTAACGTGCAATCCCACTGTGTCCTTCATTTTTTTGTCGCATGGTTCGTTTTTGGTGCAGTTGGATTGATGTTGCAAAGTTATCTTTCGGTTGGGTATTTTACTGATGTGTTACGCCTCTCAGGT